CAGGGTCCTACTCTTCCCATGATTTTCATGACACTTACTACAAAAGGCTTCCAATGCAGTGAAATAGTTTGGAACCCCATCTTGCACCATACTCCAAGATAACTTGACCTCTAGAATTCATTAGGATCATTATTAAATTGTTTAAAATCAGACCTCACTTGATCTTAAATAGAATGTCAATAAGTTTATATATAGGTCAGCACTCCTCAGCTTTCACAAATGTCCGTAAACAAAAGATCCTTTGGAAACACTACATCTATTCTATACTGGAATAGTTTCAATAATTTTGGAAGCTTTTTTAAAACTTCAAAGCTAAGTCTAATGCTGGTTCATGATCTTATACAAAAATATATTCAGAAAGACAGTAGGGTCACTCATTTACTCAGACAGTATCTTTTAGGAATTCTACCATTTTCTGATGTGTGTAGACTCTCTTGGCATTGAAACGAATGTGACAGACACTGACCTATTTGGAAATGCAGCCATTTGAAATTTTCAGTCAGATGCTGATCGGTTTTGTTGGTTGAGGTTTGAGGTTTGAATCAAAACTCATTCAGACATTAGCACATTTCCATATGCCTCACTGATAACTGAGGGCAAAAGAAAGCTCTTGATTTAATCTAGTGCTGGGAAAGTGGCAGTCATTGTCACTGTGCGCGATGCTTGTGTTCCAAAGTTATTACTTAAAAAAATTGAAAACCATCATTTCTCTCATTGATGCCATAAATACTTATGACAAATAAAAACACCAAAGCAAATTAAAATATTTTTAGTGGAACCAGATAAAGAGACCAATGTAATGAGGAAATTTAACCCTGATCTTTGTTTTGTTTCTAAGGTTTCTTTTTTTTTTAAATTCTCTTGTGTTTTCTTTGTTTTAAGTATCACAGGTCTGACAAATCTCCAGTGAAATCCTAAAGCAAGACAGCTGGTAAATTCTAATATATAATATAATATAAATCTTGTACAATCCACAAAAATGGCCTGCAAAATACATAATATCCCCATTTTGCAGATCTGAAGCTCAGAGAAAGTAAGTGTTGTATAGTCTTTAAGGATTAGCTAGCTCTATATGTACTGCACCTCCCATCTAGTCTAGTTCACATCCTATTACCAGAGGCAGGAACTTGCCTGGACTCCCTTTGCAGCTAACATGGTGGATATGATTTAAGCTCTTGTAAGACATTTAGAAAGTAGAAGCAAGCTGTTCTGTTGTTTCTACTGGTAAGAGGGATGGTGGAGTTTTGCTGTGGCAGCATCCTGGCTTCTAGTCGCTAGCTTTGAGGGTATTGAAAGGCAGGGGGCAGGGTATTCATCATTTATAGCTGCACATTTGGCAGGCAAGCCCCGGCTCCGGAGCTAGTGATTGCCAGTGAAGGCAACTTCCTGATCCCTAGATGGCAGCTGAGGCAGTGTCTTCCTGGAGCCAACAGTCCTGAGGTGGCTTCCTGAGTCCCCATCTTATTGCTTTTGGCAGAAGAGCAACCGGCAGGCCAGTTCTGCAGTGCGGCTCTGAGCGTCTCCTGGAAACTCAGCATAGATCCTGTTACTTTGACTCTTCCAACTTCTGTATTAATTCCTTTCTGCCTGAATTGTTGGTTTCTGTTTTACTTCGCTGAACTCTAACCAGTAAATATTAAGTAACTTGTTTATTCAGCCAAGAAGTGCAGAGCCTAGATTCAATGTGAGCTTGCCAGCCCCCAAAGCCCACACTCCCTTTGATGGAAAGCTACAGAGTAAAATTTGCTTTGCATCTGCTGAGTGCAGATATCCAAGAGATGTGCACGGGGGAAGTGGGCGACGGGGTCAGTGGGGAAACCAGGTTGACTGAGCAGCTCTCACAAGACCTGCAGGCATGAGGCATTGGTCCTCTGATGTGCACTCCACCCTATTCTGTCCTTCTCCTCTGGTTCTCCTCACAGCCCTTCCTCATTCCTTATTCACTAAGCTGGGATAATTTTCATTCATTTTCACAGGAGAACACGTAAGGAAGACAAAGGAGCCTGTTTTTGGCTTTTCAGTCACCAGAGCTTAAGCCCCCAAATCCTAAAGACCAGATAAAACTTATTCAAGTCGGGAGGAAGCAGAAAACTAAAGAGGAAGTCAAAAAGCTAAGACATGTTAGGTATCTGAGAAGGTCCTGAGCTCTGTCCCTCCCAACTCCCTATCCCCAGACAGAATTCTAGGATAGGTGGATTGAGAGATGATAGAAACTCTATGTCATTTGGGATTCTAGAAGACGAGGATTCTTGTGCCCTTTCCTGGGTAGAACTGGAAAAAACCCTAGGGTTCTCTGCACCCAGCATGGCATAGAGCAGATGAAATGGCGGCATGGTTTCTCTGGGCAGCCAGGCATCCCAACACAGCACTGAGGCTACAGCAGAACCCACCCACCTGAGCTGAATGAAGGAGACAGACAGGGCCAGACGTGATGGAGGAGTGTGCTCAGGACCCCAGGATGATGCCACAGAGACCTTTCCCACTGGTGACTGAAGACCAAATAGAACAGCACTCTAACAGATCTCGGACTGTGTCAACAGCTGTGGCACCAAGCCCCACCCAGTCCCACAGCTGTGAGACCAGAGCCCCACACCCCATTGCCCAATCCCTCCACAACCCTACCTTAATCCTGGTACTCAGATAAACCCCCAGAAGAATTTTGGCTGGGGTGAATGGAATGATCCTGAATAAAATGAAATAAAGTTTCCACCAGAGCTTGAGACTGAATTAAATCCAATTAAAAAAAATAAAGTTACATTTCTCTCACATATGGGCTGTGAGTTGAGTCTTGTGCTCACTCACTACACAGTTTCCAGTTAATTTGTACTCCAACCCTTAAGAGTCATGGGTCAAGGCCAGGCGTGGTGGCTCATGCCTGCAATCGCAGCACTTTGGAAGGCCGAGAGAGGTGGATCACTTGAGGTCAGGAGTTTGAGACCACCCTGACCAACATGGTGAAACCCTATCTGTACTAAAAATACAAAAATTAGCTGGGCGTGGTGGCTGGTGCCTGTAATTCCAGCTACTTGGGAGGCTGAGGCAGGAGAATCACTTGAACCCAAGGGGTGGAGGTCGCTGTGGGCCGAGATTGCCACTGTGCTCCAGCCTGGGTGATAGAGTAAGAGTCCATCTCAAAAGAAAAAAAAGAGTCATTGGTCAAGAACAGTGTTCAGCAAACTGCAGCCAGCCATTTTTGTTTTTTGTTTTTTGTTTTTAATTTTCCTGCCTATTTTTGTAAGTAAAGCTTACTGAAACATAGCTATGCTAATTTTCTATGTGGCTGCCTTTGCACTCCGGTAGCAGAGTTGATTAGTTGCAACAGAGGCTGCCGTGGTGTGAAGCCTGAACTTGTTACTGTCTGGATGTTTACAGAAAAAAATGTGCCAATCCCTGGTATAGAACATGGGCCCTGCCTGGCTCCAACCCATCCTCTCCCTTACATGCTTGTCCTTTTCCTGACACCATGGGGGCAAAGTCTCAAATCAAAATCAATGGAAAACTTTTGTCTTTCTCTGCTGTTAAAAATATACTTATGTCCAAATCCAGCTTCTCCTTCCTAAACCTCCCCAAAGGTTGGCTCTCTTCTGACTACTTTCTTCGTCTCCTTTTCTTCTGTGATCCTGCACTTCCTTGTAGACGTCTATCTTGATTACTTCTATTCTATATCCTTTGTGGGTTTCTCTTCCCCTGACCACCTTTAAGGTAAGTGTTTTCTAGGGTTGTCCTTGGCCCACTGGTCTCACTCCATTTACTCTGCCATGCCCCAGAACTCTTTGCAGGTGGACCAAGTTTCACTTGGTCATAAGCACAGTTCACAAGACAGAAAGACAAATTCACTTCTAAGGAGATAAGCCATCCAAGGTTAGTGATTTCAGGGGTTCATTCCCTTGGCTTAGATAACAACTGATACCTTAACACCCAAACGGACTGTTTGGTTTTCTTCCTCTCGCCACTGAATTAGTCAATATTACCCTTGAGCAGACAACTGAAGAGCAGAATGATCACTTAGTAGACAACCAATAAAAGGCATCATAGCCTGGTGGTCAATCATATATATATAGGCTCTGGAGTTAGATTATAAGCTACAGTTTTGAAGCTCTTATTAGCTATGAAAACTTGGGTAAGTAGATTAACGTCTATGCTTCAGCTTCCACTTCCATAAAATGGGCATAAGGCACTCAACACCACTAATCATCAGGAAAATGTAAACCAAAACTACAATAGGTAGCACCTCACTCCATTTAGAATCACTATCAAGAAATCAAAAGATAAGTTTTGGCAAGGATGTAGAGAAAAGTCAACCCTTACTGCTGGTAGGAGTGTAAATCTGTGTAGTCATAATGGAAAACAGTATGACGTTTCCTCACAAAATTAAAACTGTAACTACCATGTGATCCAGGAATCCCACCACAGGGTATATCTCCAAAGGAAATGAAATCAGTAAGTCAAAGAGATATCTGCACTCCTATGTTTATTGCAGCATTATTCACAATAGCCAAGATAGGGGATCAACCTAAGTGTTCATCAGTGGATGACTGGATCAAGAAAATGTGGTATGTATACATAATGGAATACTATTCAGCCATAAAAAAGAATGAAATCCTGCCATTTGTGATAACATGGATGAGCCTGGAGGATATTACATTAAGTGAAATAAGCCAAGCACAGAAAGACAAATACCATAAAACAACAAAAACAAACAAAACCTACAACAAATTCAATTTAATCAGAAGTTCCCTTTAGCTATGTGTGAGGTTGTGAAAAGGAAAAAAGCTGAATACTCCAACTAAGCTAGATACTCTAACAGTCTTAAACATTAAGCTAAAAACTCTAATAGTCTTTTCCTACAGATCTGTGACTGCACAACAAAGGTGAGGAGGTAGGAGCAGAGAAGGAGAAAATGGGAAGTTGCCTGGGAAAAGGGAAGCAACTAGTTCAGGGATTTCAACAACCAATACAGTAAAATCTGAAAGAGAAAACTGCCAATCAAAGATGCTTACCTTTGCACCCCTCACAGGTCAGTGCATTATAGTGGTATCCAGACGCTCTGTCTCCACAAACAACACACAGCTCATCCCCTTTGATCCTCCCTGCTGACGCGCCCATGCGGGGCTTCTTTGTTACAGGCATCTCTGCTACCTCAGTCTCTCCCTGGTAGAGAGACTCAGCTGGCATTCGCCTGAGTTCATATATTCCAGGAGAGTACCACTCTTCAGGCTGCTGGGGGTAGAAACCCAGGTTGGAATAATAGGATGATGAGGAAATCTGTGGTTGAACTTGGGGAAACTGAACATTGCTGTATTGAGAGTATGGTTCCACTTCCAGGTTCTGTCCCAGAGGACCTGCCACTTGTTCTGTTAAAACACCTGAACAAAAGTGACAACAAAACTGGAATGAATGTCATCATTCTGGAAATTAGAGAGGCAGTTTGGCGTAATGGTTAGGAGTGTGGGCTCTAAGAAAAGATTGAAACATTTAACTACATAAAAGTTTACAACTTTTAAGAGTATATATACATAATATAATTAAATGACAAATTAAAAATGTCCTGCAACATAGAGGACAGAGTCATCTCATTAATGTATAAACAGCTCTTGAAAACCAATAAGAAAACATTTGAGAAGCTATGGAAAAAGGGATAAAGGAAAGGAATAGTTTTAGAAACATAAACGTAAGTGTTTTGTAAACGAAAAAATGTGCTCACCTTTGCCAATAATTAAATTTAAATTGAAACTAAAACATTACCGTTTTCATCTTCAAATGTGTGAGAGTTTTAAAAGTTTGATTATACACACTGTTGGGGAAACAAATACTTTTTGGGGGAAATTTGTGAATATTTTCCAGTTTTTTAAACTTCAATGTCCTTTTAACCCAGCATAAATTTTCCACTGCTTGAAAATTTATTTTAGAAATATCCTTGAACCTCTATGAAAAAGTGTTTTGTAAAAATATTCACTTGCAGCAAATTTGCAGAGCCATAAATTGGAAAACAATCTAAATATTCATCCATATGAGTCTGGTCAAATAAATTTGTTATATTCATACACTGAAATATTAAGTAGATGTAAAACAATTATTTAGATTTCTATGTGCTGTCATGGAAAATTTCTACAATAAGGTGCTATATGAAAAAGGCAAGCAATAGACCCATGTGTATATTCACATGGGTATTAAACACTAATGGGGTGTGTGTGTGTGTGTGTGTGTGTGTGTGTGTGTGCAGGTGTGTGTGTGCAAAGGCAAATTTCTGCATGATACAGAAGAAAGTAGGTGGTGGTGACTGTGAGAAGTGATATTTTTACATTATATTCTGGGAGAGAAGATTGCATAATTTTTTTTACTGTTTGTAGTTTTTGCCATGTGTATATGTATGCGTTATTTTAATCATTATAAAACAAAGGAGGAGCTTTAAAAAAAGAATACAGTGCCTGCAATCTATCTACTGTATTCAAATTCCTGCTCTGTTACTTACAATCTGTGTGCAGCTGGCAATTCCTTAATGTCTTTAAGTTGCAGTCTTCTCCTAATAAAACAGAGAATAATAATACCTACCTCACTGGGTTGATATAAAGATTATATGAGATAATGTGTGCCAAGTGCTTTGCTAAATGTTTGGCACACAGGAAGTGCTCGATAAATTATAGCTGACTTAAAATAGGAATAATAATTATTATTCTTACTACCATCATTATTAAAGGAGCCCCTTATTTAGAAAACCTCTAGGTAATAGAAAACCATCAGGTTATGAAAATGCTTCTATTTCCTGGAAACATCAACTATGGCTCTTTAGAAAATAAAAATATTTAAATTATGCAAATGCTGAAAAAATAGACATAAATAAGAGATAGGAAAGTTTACAAATGTGTCTGACTCTTCCAAATGTTGTCAGACAATTTTAGACCAAAATTCCAGTTCCATCTCTTACGAACAGTGGGACTTTGAGCAAATTATTCAAACTATTGATAAACATCGGTTTTCATGGCAGCAAGTTTGGGATGATAACATCGATATCAAGGGTTAGGCTGAGGAATGAATGAGATGATACAGATTCACAGTTCCTTATCTGAAACCCTTGCAGTCATATGTGTTTTAGAAGTCAGAATTTTCAGGATTTTAGAACAGAATACTGTGCTATTTATATATCCCTCCCAGCACAGTCTGGAGCAGAATCCAGAGTCAAATACAGCAATATTTTCCACAGTGAAATATATGAATATTCACAGTCAGTGCAATAAGTAAAGACTATAAATAGTTTCACATTCATTCAGGTCAGGTTCTGTCACCAAAAAAGTGTGTGCCAAACTTTTAGAAAAACGTGGTTTTTTGGGGCTTTGGGGATTTCGAATTGGCAATGCTCTTTGCCGTGCTCAAAAGATAGTTGAAACGATTACTATAATTATTATGATTACTATCACTATATTTTGCAGAAAACTTTTATAGAGTTCTTTGTAGCGGCAGGCACTTGTATGTTCTCATTTATTTCTCACAAAACCCAATGAGTTAGGTAACATTATTATCCCCCACTTACAAATGAGTACCATGAGACACGTAGAAGTCAAGCAACTTTACTCCTACCTATCTAAGTAGATGCGATTTGAGCTCTAGGAGTCTAATCTCAAAGTCCATGCACTGAATTGCTGCTCTCTGGGGGTAATTTCAGGTGTGTGATGCTCAAAAACATGATATTCAAAGCCCCTCTCTGCATCCTCCTACTTGCGTTTGTTACCCCCTTCTTGGCCTCCGCTTGCATATAACGGGTCTGCAGGTTTCTGCATCACCCTACCCTTGCTTTCTTTTCCAGCCATTTTGCATGTTTGGATGTCTCTGTTTCTTGAATGTGCCTTGCTGCTTCCAGACTCAGGATTTCTCCCACCTGCTGCTTCCTGAGCCTGGAGTGGTTCTCAACACAGCCAACCCCTCCCAGGGCTTCATCTCATTAATGTCCACTTATCTCTAAATTCCCTGTAGGTATTGCTTCTCTTGGGAAGTTTTCCCAACAGAAGAGGTTACCAGGTCCCTGGGAGTCATGTTCCTGAATCTAGTTACATGGCATTTAAAAACCGTTACTTACTCTACCTGGGCTCCCTCTGTTTATCTGTAAAGAAAAGACTCCACCCTAGATGATCTTCTAAATCTTCTTTATATCTGAAAGTCTCCATAAGTATATGACTAATAGTTTATGAACATTAGAATTCAGGGCTTTTCTACACTGGCAAAGTTCAGAATATACATATTACATGTTGAAAATAATGCTTTCTGCATTAACCCAGGAAATGATTGACAGAGCACATGGTATACAGTATCTGGACAAAAATCAATTTCCTTTCCTTCTGTCTGACTTATCCATATAAAAATAGCATACGCCAGGTACGGTGGCTCACGCCTGTAATCCCAGCACTTTGGGAGGCTGAGGTGGGTGGATCACGAGGTCAAGAGATTGATATCATCCCGGCCAACATGGTGAAACCCCATCTCTACTAAAAATACAAAAAAATTAGCTGGGCTTGGTGGTGCACACCTGTAGTCCCAGCTACTTGGGAGGCAGAGGCAGGAGAATCACTTGAACCTGGGATGTGGAGGTTGCAGTGAACCAAGATCACGACACTGCACTCCAGCCTGGCAACAGAGCAAGACTCAGTCTCAAAAACAATAACAAAACAAAATAAACAACAACAACAAAAAAGAGTATGTCTAACGGACAAAATATTTTAGAAATGGTGCCTTGTCTTACCACCACAAAATGGAAGGGGAAAAATATGGAACTATTACACAAAAAGAAAAGATAAAAATAAGCAAAATCCTGATCTATTTCATCACCAAATATGATGAAAATTTCTGGAGTGAACGCAATTGAAAAAAACTAAAAAGTATTAAAAGCATTTAGTTTCACTTACACTTAGATTTTATCCTCTAACCTATCTTATTCCCTTAACTCCCCTTCCTCCCTCAGCCCAATTTCTCTCTGCCACAGCTCTAGTAAGGATAAGTAATTTGCCCAAGATCAAAAACCGATAGAATCTGGATTCTGTAGCATCCAAGGAAATGTGTACAGTTTTTTTTCTCCTCATATGACAATTCTAAAATCTTTAAGCATTATTTCAATAAAACAATTATTTTCATAATCAAGAAACACAAAGGAGTCCCAAGTCAAGTCAGATAATGATATCACTGTCATATCACTCTCTGGAATAATCTAGATCAAAATGGAAAGTTTTCACAAAGATATAGATAATATCATGCTAAAACAGTAGGACATCAGTAAAAATATGAGAAAAGTACACAATAATATTAAATAATACTTCTATTCTTGGCCAGATGCATTGGCTCATGCCTGTAATCCCAACACTTTGGGAGGCCAAGGTGAGTGGATCACCTGAGGTTAGGAGTTCGAGACCAGCCTGTCCAACATGGTGAAACCCCGTCTCTACTAAAGAAACAAAAATTAGCTAGACATGGTGGCAGGCGTGTGTAACCCGGCCACTCAGGAGGCTGAGGCAGGAGAATCACTTGAACCTGGGAGGCAGAGGGTACAGTGAGCCAATATCGCGCCATTGCACTCCAGCCTGGGCGACAGAGTGAGTCTCCATCTCAAACAAAACAAAACAAAACAAAACAACAACAAAAAACCTTCTATACTCAAAGCCCATTCACTTCTAGCATTTCATAGAGTGTCCCCTAAATCTCCACAAATAGAGAAGTAATTACGCAGGAACCTTACAACCAAGGAACCAGCATGGCCAACATATTCCAAAATGGTTGGACTAGGACAACTTCCCCATTAACTGACCATGAGATCTTAACTGGCTAAGCTTTTCCTATTTCAATCTCTTCTGTAAAAATGGGACTGTTGCTATCTCAGAAGATAGTTCTGAGTGTAAAATACGGTTGTTGAGAAGCAGTTTTGGTAAGTCGAGTGTCATTAAAAGACATGTTTCCTAAAGAATCTAGCAAAATCCTGATTTTAGTGATAGTTAATTGATAGTTAATAAGTAATTATTAACACATAGTCTGTCTTGATGATATAAGTATTAGGATAGTTCTTTCATTACAAATATATATTTATAAACATATGCTCATGCTCTGTGTGTGTGTGTGTGTGTATGTGTGTGATAAACACTTGCTATTTAGCAGTCACTGTGTTAGGGTCTGAGGATATGAAAGTGAAAAGACACATATGAAGGCCCAGCCTTTCTCTTGTTTGTGTGTTTTGGGAAGTGGGGATGTCAATGGTTGGGACAAAAATAAGTAAACAAGTAAACAAATACAACATTGTCTGGCAGAAAATAAGATGTGGAGGGAGTAGAGGTGTTTGACTTTAATTTAGAGTATGCTTTCTGAAAAGGTAAATTTATTTCTGTTTTGATACAATTTAAAAGGGAAAATACATATTAAAATTTACATTTAGGAATTTTTATTTTGGAATTAGTCTATCAAAGAGTATGAGAATTAGGATTCCTTTGTGATGGCTCTCCATGAAAGTTTAGGAAAGAGTTCTTAAATGAGAACACATGGATGGACTCCAGGGGAGTCTGAGAAGCCCTGAAAATAAAGTAAAATTTTTCTAGATAGACAGTCTCCAGGTTTCAACACCTTCTCTAAAGGAGTGTCATCTGAGGGAACTTTCTGAGGTGATAGAAGGGTTCTATGCCTACCAATACGGTAGCCACTAAACCACATAGGGATATTGAACCCTTGGAATGTGGCAAGTGATACTTAGAGTCTGAATGTTAAATTTTATTTAATTCTAAGTTAAAATTTAAAGTTGAATAGCCACATGTGGCATATTAGCCAGTGCAGCTCTAAGGAGTCTGGGACCAGAACCACTGTACCCCCAAATGGGAAATCAGGTTTGCATAAAAACAATGGCCCTCTCCCATAATCTCACAGTGAGTTTCTGATGCTCCTGAGAAAGGGTCCAGTTTATATCCAGCTTTTCATCCCTGGCAGAATGCTGACCATAGTAAATGTTTAATGAATGTCTCTGTTGAATTGCAGTGCCTAGAAAAGTTGCTTTTTCTGCCTTACTTTATTTCTTAATCCATGGTTTCTCCACTAAACGGCAAGGCTTTACCGCAAAGTTGTTTGCTATTCCTGGCATTGGGCCTTTGTGATGTTAGTGCCTCTCCCTGCCTTGTCAGCTGATCACCTACTTCTGGTCACCTACAGCAGGAGGCCTGCCCCAGTTCCCCCAGGTGGAATTCACCTCTCCTACCTCTGTACACACTTCTATTATGGCACGTATTGGAAGTATATACAATCATTTCTTTTGTTTACAGGCTTATCTTCCACGCTGAACTTGAGATGGTATGAGATACTGCCTAAGAGTGCCCTCTGAGCAGACAAATCTGGATTCAATTCACCCACAACTTGTTAGGGATATGAACCTGGGAAAGACATGGAACTTCTTTAAGCTTCTGTTGCTTCCTTTACAAAGCTGAAATAATGTAGTGCCTGCATGAGAGGCTATAATAAAGATGAACTAAGACAAAGAATATAAACTGCATAGTGCCTGACACCACATAAACATGCATACTTTTGTGATTGTTGTGATTCATCTGTGAACTCTTTGATGGAAAATATTAGATTATATTCTCTTCTTTATATTCCTGGCATCTAACTCAAAGACTGACACATAGTAAATATTTATCAAATGTTGGTTAAATTGAAGTAAATGGGAAATTTGCTTCCCTGGCCTTCCAACTCATTTCCATTTCTAAATACGGTGTCGATCACTTTTAAACATCACATTTAAACAAAATGGTATGCTACCAAGTCTATGAGCAAAAACATGTTCACAATGATCAGTTTTATAAAAATTATTCGAGTTTTTTCTTGCTGGAAATTTAAAAGATGAATTTCTGTTTTAAAAAATATTAAAATGTGATTTACATTATACTGTTTTAATTATAATCTATGTTTTAATTCAGAGAAAACCAAGAGCCTGGGCCTAAAGCTCAACTCTGTGCTTATCTGATTTTTTATGGACTGTTGAAAGAAACCTGTTGTGAAACTACTTCATTAATTTGTGTTTCCCAAACTCTTCATTTCTTTTTACCACAACCTACAGTTTTAGATACATTTTATCTCATATCCCCTGTACATACTCCTACATATGTAACTGAAACAAGATTTCATGAAATACCACTTGTCTTTACTCCTTGAGGGACACTCTGGTATTTCTATTCTATTATGTTCTAATCCAGTTTTTAATGCTGGTCAGAAGACACTAAATAGATTTTGTGATCCCCTGGGAACTGAGACTTGCCATTTTAGGAACACTGCATTAAACAATGTGTGTTAAAATGTTTTTTCAAGTGTCCACTGATATCAATGTTAGAACTGTCTAATGTTTGGTTTGGAAGAATAGTGATAATTTGACATAATAGTCTATGAATAATTTTAAGGGACGCATCCTTAGATTTCATCCCAATAAGATATTCGTCTGTTTAGAATCCAATAAAAATCACTCCAACCCAAACTCCCACCCCAGTCTTCTGGGTCTGACTGAGCCACCATCTTTGACAGACATCTGTTACTGTCATCTCCAACCAAAGTCCCCAGATTTCCTCAGTCCAGTTGCAAGAGCACGACCTGAGAGCACCTGTGAACAGTGTCCTACCTTTTGCGGGCTTCATACTCATCATTTCCGTGAAAAATCCTGACGGTGTACAGCTGCAGTGAGGACTAATTTGAATTGGATTTTCTAACTCCTGAAACTGCATTACCATTCTTAGCTTATTCACAGCAACTGAAAATGAGACTAGGTAAGGAGTGAGAGAGGACAGAGGTTGTGTGGTTTACTGATTAACTTCATTACGGAGCAGAATATTTGTAAATGTTTATGAGAAAAGTCCTCAATGCCAAATTGCCTAGTAAGCTGGAAACCAGTCTCTTAGATAAACATTTTGGGGGAGCACTTTTCCAGTTTAAGAACTTTTAGAGGGTAGGTTTCTGTTCCGTGGCTCTAAAACTGGATTTGGAGGTCAAATGCCATGCTCCAGGTCCTGACATTTGTTCCCATCAAAAGGTGGCAGAATGGTATGATTTAAAATGGAATGGTATGATTTAAAATGGAAGCATTTTAAAGCATAATGCTTGATGTGATTTGGCTGCGTCCCCACCCAAATCTCATCTGAATTGTAGCTGCCATAATTCTCATGTGTTGTCGGAGGGATCCAGTAGGAGATAATCAAATCATGGAGTTGGTTTCCCCGACATTGTTCTCGAGGCTGTAAGTCTCACAAGAGCTGATAGTTTTATAAAGGGTTTCCCCTTTCGCTTGGCTCTCATTCTCCCTTGCCTGCCACCATGTAAGACATGCCATCTGTAGTCCCAGCTGCTCGGGAGGCTGAGGCAGGAGAATGGCGTCAATAGATGGGTAAAAAAACAGATAATAATTCTCCCTACTTAGGCCTGTTCTGCAGATTAAAATGGATAGTAAATTATGAAGCAGTTTTAAAGGCAAAGGTGAGCTATAACAGTGGAATAATCATTGCTAAGATATTTCTATAGCCTTCACAAGTTTCCAAGTTGGTTCCATATGCATATATCTCATTCAGATCTTCACTTGCACCTTTGAGGGAGGTATCATTTTCTAATTCACTATCTTTAAAGCCTATTCTGAAATATATACTATATATTTATTATATATAATATATATATAATCTAATATATCTATATCCTAATATATCTATATATAAATCTATATATATTTAGAAAACATCTTATATATTTTTTAGTTATTTTATTTTTATTTTTATTTTTTTATTATTATACTTTAAGTTTCTAGTTACATTGTGCATAACGTTTGCAGGTTTGTTTACATTATGTATACTTGTTGTGCCATGTTGGTGTGCGTGCAACCTATCAACTTGTCAGCCACCCATCAACTCGTCATTTACTCAGGTATAACTCGTCATTACATCAGATAAAACTCCCAGTTGCAACTCTTCTCCCCCTCTCCCCCTCTCCCGTGTTATGGGGCCCTGGTTGTGCTGATATTACCCCTTCCGGGTCAAGTGATCTCATTGTTCAGTTCCCACTATGATTGAGAAACAGCGGGGTGTTTGTTTTCTGTTTTTGCGATAGTTTGCTGAGAATGAATGTTCGCAGTTGCATCCATTGGTCTACAAGACACAAATCCATCATTTTTTAATGAGCTGGTATAGTATTCCATGGGTTGATATAGTGCCACATTTCTTTAATCCAGTCTGTCACTGATGGACCATTTGGTGATTTCCATAGTCTTTTGCTTTGTGAATAGTGTGCAATAAG